ACACGTACCGTATGCGGCTAGGAATGACCCCTCCCTTCAGCTTGACCTCTCCCCCTCCCCACACACAGACACGCACACGTACACCCACACACGTACCGTATGCGGCTAGGAATGACCCCTCCCTTCAGCTTGACCTCTCCCCCTCCCCACACACAGACACGCACACGTACACCCACACACGTACCGTATGCGGCTAGGAATGACCCCTCCCTTCAGCTTGACCCCCTGTTCGTTGACGAGCCATGCGAACCAGGTTCCCAGCTGGTTCTTGTACAGCGAGTTCTCCACAAACATGACGTCGTCGCGGTGGAAGTCCAGCTCCTCCTCTGTCTCGCTGGCACGCTCAAAGTTGGCCCGGATGTAGAAACTGTCGCAGGGTAGCTGTTGGATCTTGTTGTACTCTGGGGTGTGCGGGGGAAGAGATCAATCATCATAAATAAATAACAACAATAATAATAATAATGACGATGATAATACTTGTACTTTTTGATCCTCTGTTGTCGTTAAGCGTTGAGGGGAGAAGCAGTCTCCTATGGTAGGCCAGCTCCGCAGCTCTTTGATGATGGTAATAACAACAGCAAATACTACTTCCATTACAAATAAAAATAATACGCTGGCTCTCGTGGCCTAGAGGTTAAGGTGTTAGCCTCAACAAGGTCATATAAGTGCCGAAGAATAGATGTGTTACAAGAGAGCGGCATACACAAAAGAGGAGGAGAGATAAGGACAATAGATGATTGATAGGAAAGAAGGAGCAAATCACACAAGAGCACCCGCCAACCACCCACAGAGTTGACTTACTGGCAAAGTTGAGGAACACACAGAGCGTCATAGTGGCACAGGGTCTGTTCAGCTCCACCATCGCCTTCTCAGCAGTCACAGCACGGAAGTCCACAGAGTTGAACTGGCACACGAGATAAACAACACGATCATCACAACAAACAGCTTTTAGTTTTAGTAGAGGTTTTACGGCGCTCTCAACTGCATAAGGTCATATCGCCAGAAGATTTGAGGTGTTACAAGAGAGTAACAAACATAAAAAAAAAGAAGGGGAGATCAGGACAATAGACGTTTGATAGGAAAGAAGACGCAAAACAGCATTTTGTGGACCAACAATCAAACACGATCATCACAACAAACAGCATTTTGTGGACCAACAATAAAACACGATCATCACAACAAACAGCATTTTGTGAGTGGCACTGTGCTCAAATCAGGCTTTCCTCAAAATCATCAAATCAAAGAAATCAACATTTTTACACCCCGCGACCTCAATGCTTTCTTGTCCTTTCTCCATTTTTAATAATTGTGAAAACAGTTCATAACAAAAAGTGAGCTTAAGAAGAAGTCACATTTTCACTTTTAAAAAAAATGGAGATATGACAAGAAAGCTCCGAGGTCGCGATATGCTAAAAAATTGACGGGTGCCCGCTTCCATTGTGTCATGACATGCGTACCTAGTGTTGTAGTTGTAGCATACCTCAAGGGTGGCATTTCTAATTTTTGGTTTATAGTAGAGGGTTTTACAGCGCTCGCAACTGCATAAGGTCATATGAGCGCCAAGGGGTGGATGTCAACAGAGAAGTCCTTACAGGGAATCAGACTTATTCTGCTCACCTCTCTAGCCTCAACAGCACAAAGTCTGCTTCGACTATCAAGGCACCCCGGAAATAGCATT